AGAGCAAGCAGCGGCTGCAAAGACGTGATATGTACAGACAAAGGTGTTTATTATTCAAGAAATGTTCTTCTGGCCTTACAATTATCGATCGAGGGTTACGTACTGTGTACCTGCGACTCGAGTCCAAGAGACAAGGTTCGTTGGTAAGCTCCGAGTGAAAGTTTTAACACTGACCTAGTCCATCTAGTTATCCAATTTATGACGACTTTAGACTAGGAAAACATTTCTGATGGATTGGTGATGTTTCCGTGACAAGATTACGGATTATAATAAACAATTGAATTTTCATTGCCAAACGGTTTCGTTAGAGAGAAATTTATATTATCTTAGGGGATGAAATCTGCTTTAAACTACGGTTGCTTGTCTCGTATCTAACTCTTTGTGGTCGAGGAGTTATCAAGGTGAAAATCTGGTTCACGTAATGCTAAATTATACATCGAATTCTTAACTGCTGGGAAAGTAAGAAATTACATGCAGATGTTTTCTTGTGTAAATAATTAAATTATCTTCTTGCAGTTTTTATGCTAAGTGCCAAAGCCTTCGAAGATTATCCACAGTGTTATGAACTCTTAGTTTATTGACAGTTACAGTTAGTATTTACTCTAGAAGTATTCAAACAGAACAATTTACATTTCATAATACACAAGATACACTTGTACAGAATAGACGTCTCATGAACGAGCTTACTGCTTTACTTTTATCATTAGCTACAGTATTTTTAGGTTACGTTTTATCTTGAGTATAAATATCTTCTTGAAGAGCTACTGTATACTACTATATATGGTCATATTAGTTCATATCATAATTTTATTATTTTGTCAGACATTGAAGCACTAAAACAGTGTGTATTATACTGTGTCTGAAGGGGTTAAAAAATATTGCGATCAGTCGAGAAGTCACGAATTTGTTCGACAGAAATAATATCTCAATAAAGTCCCAAGGACTCGCAGCTTTACTTTGGTCGGTCAATATAGATGCATATCGTCGCATATGCATTATAGATATATTTGGCAATGAAGAAAGCTGGTTAACGAACGAACTAGTTGCGGCTACGTTCGAGGAATTTACTTGCTGCTTACAGAAGCTTATATCTAGTTCATTGCCAAGAAGGAAACCCTAAGCATATTAACTCCTTAAACCCGTAGCTGTTTCTTCGTTGCCGAGGGTCGCTGTCGTGTTCGCCTTGACGCTCGGTCAAAGACAATCCTCCACCCTCACCTTTTAACCGACCGTTTCAAGTAGACGCTTCGTAACATACACGCGGCTAACAATTAGACGAGAATTTAGACTTCACGGTTTATAAAGAACCGAAGTAGAATGTTGTAATTCAATTATAAAGTTACATGAGTTCAAAGATCAGCAATTTTTCGGTTGGAATGTAGTGATTATTTCATTTTATGGGGTATTGTGTATTCTTCTGCGTTATTTTTGGCAAATTATCAAATCTCTAAAAACAGTAATTGCTCGTGAAAAATAAATAGAAGAACTAAAGAACAGAAAAGTTTTAGCTCTCTGACTGCTGGGAGCAAACTGAGAAAGATGTAATTATTAACATGCATTTAACATTTATTGTACAGTTTATTCTGCTGTTCCTAACGAAATGGATATCCGTTAATTTAGATCTTGGAAATTAGGGGTTGAAAAATTGACGATTAGAATATATATTCGTGCTGTTGCATTAATCAAAATCGACGTAACCATTTACTAAATTATGTTTATAAAAATCAATATACATCACATGTTAAGTAAATTCGTATATTCGTACGTGTTAAATAAATGAAACTTATTTGTGGAAAACAGTCTCTTCGCGTAAAGTAAAAATGCAACATTTGAAGAAGAAGGAGGAATTTGTATTTTTATTTTAAGCTGAAATGCATGGTGTGTCGTGTAGGAAGATAGCAAGCTTTTTTCCTCGAATTCCATTTGCATTCTATAAAGATAATTTGTTGCGTTCAATAAAATATTGTAACTATGTTGTAACTGGTCACGAACGTTAAGTACTTTCGTAAAGGTACATTCTTTATATAATATTACTTCTCTTAAACGACAGAAGAAATTTCTGTTTAAATACTATTATATTTACTATTATTATAAGCATTTTGTATAAACAAATTAAAGAATGTATGTAAATGCCTACGTTGATGAACAGTGCTAGTTTACAACGACGAGTTTAGAGTTTATTGATTCTAAACATTCCGAATTTTTCAAAAAAGAAATATATTCATTAACCTCTTGCGCTGGAAAGACGTGTCAGATGATGTGAATGGATATGTATTAGCAAAATATCGTAATTAATTATTGTTCAAAGTGAAGGAAACAAGATTTCTCTAGTACTGAATAAATGTTGACACTTATTGAAGCAACGAAATACGGTGTAATACGTGTAATAGATTGGTATATTTAGTGACTCGATGAATGAGAGTATCCTCCCAATTATGAGCTGATGGAACAAATCCAATTTCTTGGCCAAATAATTTAATTACCTCCAGTATGATTCGAACATTAATTCGGCGCGATGCAAACCCTTGAGCTAACTATAGAGCGACAATGACCCGAATGTTTCTTCTTCTTTTTGGTCGGTTCGTTTTCGGTGTCCCTTTTTCTTTCCTCCGTTTCACGACACCGAGTGTCGCTGGCCGCAGGCCAATCCTTACTAATCACAAGATATTATTACACTCGATATCATAATGCGTGCATTTTTTCACTTTCCCGTGCTTGCGTCATCGATTTACGGAGTGTCTCGCATGAACAGCCTCCTTGTTCATCGTCGCTACAGTTTACAATGAAAATTAAGTACTGTTGAAATTTTATTTGAGTAATTAATCGAATCAATTTTTAGCTTTAGTTTTGTTTCCTCTTTTAATTTGTATTAAATAAATTAATTTCACATGTGATCGTTTTATTTAGGATTTAAGTGTATGAAACTTTTATTGCAAAAGGATTGCTAGATTTTGTTTGATACTATTATGGAATAATTGAATTTGGTAAATGTATCCTTTGGATATATTATAATTCAAATTATTATAATTTAAAGAATCGTCATTCTGTTGTATTTATAGAATTCTTTGAAACTAGGAGATTGCTTCATTAACCAATTAGCGGTCAGTTACGATTGCTACTTATCTGTAATTTTACCTGCTGGTGTGCTTATCTGGCCTTATTGCGTTGTTCTTTAGATTTACAAATTTAGAGTTCTCAACAGTATATATTTTTATAGAAAAATTAACCGTGTGAATATAAAGAAAAAGTTTTTATAACAGAAATTGTATAATAGGCTATTTTTTCTTTTGAACAAGGAGCACTTCTAATGATACTGAATCTTTTGTTTAATATAGATGAAATGAATAGAATAAATATATAATATAATAATATACTAATAAAGAGAGTCTAAATAAAGTATTGTAATCAATTTTTTCCAAAAATATAGAAAGTATCAATTCTATTTTCTATAATGAATGGTAGAATGCAGCTGATCATTTTGTTTAAAAAGAATTTGTTCGAATAGATGTGTGAAAGGACAAAAGTAATTTGCACATTTGTACGGCTGTAACGATTCATTCGGTTCACTCCGTATAACCAATTTAAAGGAAAAATATTTAAGGCCATGAGTTTGTAATACTTATCGAGAAAAGTGAAAATGCTGACACAAACTTGATTCTGTAATGGATCCTTTCAATCAAAAGCACAAAAGCTTGTTTTCAAATTTCTAAATGATGTTCGAGTCTTCTATCTTCTGTTTCAATACAAGACTAACATCCAGACATTATAGATTGACATACATTTACCTATCCGGTAATGTTTGTTGATATTGCTGGTAATCTCCAAACCAATTCTTCTTGTTTACATTTAATGTGTTATGATGAGGAGTACTTATAATATCAAACACACTTATACTATACAAAAGTAGATATTGCATCAAATGGATTAATTTTAGGACCTAGGTTTTCATCGATCTATTTCTCAGTATTGTATCGTTTTCATAGACTATATTTGATATTTTTTACATATAACACCTGCTTTTTATTATTTTTACCATTGAATTACAATACCGCAAAATTTAAATTGTTAAATCACAATTAAAGTACTACCAATAGAAACAAATTAATTAATTAATTAAATACTCGTGACTGATTAACACAGTTAATATAATTTATATATAATATAAATTTTTTATACTAGACATTAATTGATTTACTATTTAAAATAAATTCACCATTAATTTAGAAAATAAACATACATCTGTCAATCTAAGTATATATCAGCCGCAATAAATAAAACCTTCGAAAGATTCACCACTACTTTAGACGTTTTTGTTTCATCTCTGAGGTAAAAATGGAAAATCCCAAAATACTACGAAAATGTTTAAATTTAAAATAGGTTTATAATAGATTGAACGGAAAGACGCTGATTTCATTCTACAGTCCGTTCAACGAGACAAGTGAGTGAAAATAAACAAAACATTAGCGTTCTTCTTATGTTAACAATTCGACGAACGTGAATTCAACTTTGTTCCCGCTAAGTGGCGGTCACGTGCTTTTCTTTGCAGTTGCTATATAATAACTCGATTCATTGAGTAGATTATACTAGGACCCCTGTAACGCGAGAAATATCTTCCATGTTACATTAATTTTGCACTATGAGAAATCCAACAGCGTAAGAAGATAGAATTAAGACATAGAATCATTCAAATCACTTCTTTTATTAATAAATTATTAACGACAAAGCAGTTGCATCGGTAATAATAAAGAAATGAATCATGTGCCAAGGGGTTAATCCATAGAAGTATGAATTATCATAAGCATTCGCAATCTGTTCGCTAAATAGTTTGATAAAATCTAAGATAAAATTTGTTGAACGTGTGTTCGTACGTTGAGAATCTTGTATAAAAAGGGGTACGAAGTTTCAATGGTGGCAAGAGAAAGATACTAGAAGATCATATAAGTTATGTGTTTAGCATCGAGGCCAAGGGATGCCTCTCAAGTTCGACCAGTCTTCCGACGGCTTGCTTTCGCGTCCCACGTGTGCCTGTCACCGTGTCCGAATACTTGATCCGTCCTCTCGTTACTTCTATTCGTTTTGTTTAACAATCAAGAAACAGTGTCTTTTTCTTCTACTTCTTCTCCTTCCTCTTCTTCTTCTTCTTCTTCTGCATCGTGGACCGTGAATATCAGAGTTTCGTACGTGTCAAAGGAAAATAAGAGTGACGATTCCCCCACGTTAAACAGAAAATAATTACTGATTGAAATTGAAATAATTATTCGGTGAATTAACGCTTTATCTGCGGGTCCATGGATGCTCTGTGCTTTCAGTTCCGACAATCCACGCCATATGTGTTAATGAATCAAATCAAATTGTCTCTGTTCATTGATATTATTTGGTAGTTTGATACATTAATACGAGTATGGTTTAACATTGGGAAGTATATTAACTTCATCGAAAGCAATGACTGGCATGTAAATATACAGGTAGTTCGAGTTTCATAATGTACTGCAATGTATTGAGTTTTGTTGTTTACTACAAGTTTATTGTGTTTAATATTTATTAGTATTGTCAATAAAAATTCCGCAAAATCAGAATTTTTTTAAAGAATATTAGTATATTATTGCAAATGAAAATTTATAGGTATACAAAAATGATTTAAATAATTATATAGTGACAAATGTTTGAACGTAAAACATCCTATTGTAGAAATTCTTTCTTCAACGTCTGTATGTTTATAGAAAAAGCACTTCCCTTTTGAATTTATATACAAAGTTTTCCTCTATTCATGATTCTATTCATTCGCCATCATGTATAATTTTATTTTTATCAATGAAATGAAAGTGCAAACAGGTTTGACAAATTGGGATGTCTTTCTCAACAGAAAGTGTCGTAAGAAAGTAAATTCTGTGCTCGATACTGAACCCTTGGAAGGTAGACGCTGGATTAGTTCTAATCCATAGTCCACTAGTAGAGGGTTAACCTGTTAACTGGGGATAACGAGTATACTCGCTATTTCTATTCATCTTTACCTTTAGCTAAAACATCACTTCACTTTTTTTTATGTATTTGTCTAGAGATTCATATTTACCTAGATATTCATTGTGTAATATAGTACAGTAGAGCCTCCAATAAAACGATCAAAACATTATTGAAAAATAAGTATAAAAATGAGATTCTTCATAAGAAAATAGTACAAGCAGAGAAAGAAGCTGGTCCAGCATCAAGAAATGGAATTTAACGCGAGATTCGTAAACGTATAGTCGTGAAATTTTTTAATAGCCTTATACGGGGTTCTACTGTAAAATGAAAATTAATTTATAATTGCATTCGTTATGTGCTAAATTATTTCAATTAATTCTCATTTCGTTTTACTTTTTATTTGTATACCGAAGTATTCGTGAAATCAGTCGTTTAACCCCTTGTTTTACAATTTAATTTCATAGTGGCACTTGTTAGAACTACTTATCGTTAATAATGAAATAGTAAAACAAAAAATTCCATGTTCTAACTATGATTTACTTTAAACCATACAAATTGATAACAAGACAAATAATGTATCATTTGAACTTAAAGTAACTGAATGACATTTATATTTGTTAAACAATATTTAAAATGTTCGCCATGAGTTCGACACGATACTATAAGACAAGGGATTAACAGATTAAGTCAGATCATTCAGTGCACTTTGTATATGAATTCAAAATACTATAAGAATTATAAAACCTTTAACTGTATGAAGAATATGAACATACCTGTGCATTTCGATAAACTTTCTTTTAAATTTGCTTTTTTAAGATTTGTGGGTAATAACCTATTTCCAAGACATCATAAATAGTTTACGAAGTACTTCGAGGAGTAATGAAAGACATTTGTTTGAAGTAGTAGATTTATTTGTTATTGCACGAAGCGAGTTATTCGTTATTCGATGATATATGTTTATTTATTGCTTGCGTTTCGATAAAATACCGATTGTACAACATGCATTGTGTATTTATGTCGATTTAATTATTATACTTTTGAAATTTGAAACTAATTGATTCACGATTATCATTAATGTTTGATGTAACAACCGAGATTAAAGAAAACAAAATTCCCAGTACATAACCGAAGAAGTTTAGAGGGATTTCGCAAACAAACATTAAAAGAAAGAAATTTCTGAACATAATTATTAAGAGTACTGAGATTATTTTTTAAGATTGCAAAATTTATTATAATTCTTTGAATTCTTATAACTATTTGGAGTTGACTCTTTTTTAGCAAAAAATAAGTTTTCAACAGATCACTATATCCTTTTATACTATATTGTTAATTTATTTTTGTTTAAATAAGGTAAAAAATGTATTATTCACATACCAGTTTCTTTTAACGATAATTGCAAACTGCCCTTGAGATCTCTATCAACTAAGAAAATGCTTATTTTATCTTTTTATTATTTTTTTGTTACTTTAATAAATAAATATAAGTAATGATAATACTTCCAAAAAAAATGTTTGCTCCTCACATATTACACGTGCGTAGACGAAAAAACGTTAAAGCCATTTTTCCAATCTTCCAAGCTTGCATGCCCTTCATATTTCATACATACCCTTAACCTCACGTAACAGTCCCATACATAATCATATAAACGAGCGAATAAACAAGAAAGACATGTAAACACTGCAATAACCACACCTAGGTAAAAATGTCCCTAAATTAGTCAAGGCGAGAGTTAACCCATTTGCATCATGCAGAAAAGTGGAAAATTGGTCTTATTACCAAAAATGTTGTGTATTGCATTAAAATAAAAATGATTCAAAACGTATAGAAAATTAAAAACAGAATGGCGTAAACAAAGAACTCATAATTTGATTTAGCACAATAAAATTAATACATACACGTATATATAGTTAATAATTTGACAAATTAACTCTAATTGTGTTGCACGGTATGAAAGTACTTGAAATGACCAATGCATATAGTCACACGGCAATTATTACACTCATAAAATGTATCTTTCTTTTTTTGCGCTATACAAACTACACAACGTTTGCGAGTTTTCTTCGACGAACTTGTTTTAATGAGTATTGTTGAGTCTTGACCAGTAAACCTTTATGGTAATAATGAACATGGTGTAACTATTCGTGTTCTTGTTCAAATGCGCTCTAGTTATAATGCCCCAGAAGGTGGCGCGCATATATAGGCTCCGCTGATACAGACCAGGAAAAATCGGCGCATATATGCGCTAATGATGCAAACGGGTTAATCATCCCCTGTACAGTGCCCGCGGATAAAGAGTTAAAAAGCAACGAATCAAAGAAAATCAATCGGGGAAATGAGACCGAGGAAAGTGAACAACGGAGGCATCTCCAATTCGATTTACGTATCGAACACGAAGAGCGGAACGAAGACGCGTGAAAGATGTACGTAACGAAGCTAGCGTTCAGCAGAACGGAGATTTTTCACGCGTGGCCCGAGATCGTCTACAAAAACGGATCAGCTTGAGGAGGACGAAGAGGAGCGTCTTCTGGTCGAAGAGCATCCTGTACGAACGAAGTCGACCGTACGTCGGAAACGTTCGAAAATGCCTCTGATGCTGAAGATGATCGACGTGTTCGGATCCCTGCGATCACTGTTCAAAGTACAGAGGATCTCGGAGGACACGATTATTTTTCGGCTGCATTACCGCGCCACCGTTGCGCTTCTTCTCGGCGGCTGCGTCACGCTGGCCTGCAAGAGCATATCCGGCTCGCCGATCCACTGCGAGGCCTCCGGTTCCGTCGACAAGGTCGTTCTGGAGACTTTCTGCTGGCTTCACACCACCTACAGCATGGTGCACGCGTTCAACAAGAGCCTAGGCCAGGCGGTCCCCTATCCGGGCGTGTCGAACAGCAAAGGTGTTGGCCTGCACGGCCACACGTCCCATCCATTGGTCAAACAGCACAAGTATTATCAGTGGGTCATCTTCTTTCTGCTACTCCAAGTACGATCGAGTGGTTTCTTTTATGTAGTAGCTTCTGAGATGATTGAATTATCGTTGGCTAATCGATTGATATTGGTTTCTGAATTTCTAACGCCGGATCTACCGTATCGGACAAAATGACGAGTTTCAGTTTTCTTGTTTTCCAGTTATTGATGTTTTGAAAGTGTTAACCCTTCGCACTCGAGGGCTTCGGAGCGCAGCCATTTGAAATTTGTCGTTGCAAACTGTATTATATGTATACTCGATAAAAAACAGTAAAATACTGTTTGTGTCACAGTGTCAGTGAGAAACAACTTCGAGTGCAAAGGGTTAATCATCTTAACACTAAAACTACCGGATAGTTAAATTGAGTTTTTGAAATTCCTCTATAGAAACTCCAAGGGTGCATCTATTGAGGCATTAATTTATTTAAAATTCACTTTGCGTATTCCTAAGTCAATTACTTTAATAAAGTCGCAAAGAAACATTCGTCACCTCTGCAATGATTGCAAAAGAAAAGAAATCAGGAATGTGTCATTTTGACCCGTCTGGTAGTTTTAGTGTTAAACGCTCGGTAGTTCTAATCTACTCCGATTTCAGTCGATAACGATCCCGCTCAACTGTTCCGCCCGCTAGAGAAATTTATTAATAACTCGGTACTTCGTAAGAAAACGGTGTTCATCGTTTCCTGGTTATCGATCAATCGTGACTATGTAGATTATAACCATACTCATAATCCAAGGTTGCCGGGGGACCTTCGCTCGGCTTCGCCCTAGCAGTAATACGCTAAAGAGGGGAAAAAAAATATCCTTTCTCGATCGTTTCCGTTAAGTGGATCCGCGAGCGTCGAGGAGACAGTGGGATAGGAGGGCGAGGGGGGAGGGAAAAAGAGCGATCCGTCGTTCGTTCATAGATGCTCCATCGGGTTTTCCTCTTGTTTAGCCAATTTTATCCACTTGCCGCGTGGCTCCATGCGGAATGATGCGCCAAGCTGGCACGCGAGCACGGTTAAAGTATAGCTCGTTCTATTTTCATCCACGGATTTTCCCTTTTTGTTGGATTCGCGTGGACGTTGGTGTTCGACCCTGTTCCCGAGACACGACAATTCACGGCTCTCTCCAGACGTTTAACTCTTTGCGACCAAACGTTCGCAGCTTACGAGCAGCTACTTTTTCTATTAGTGCAAGTCGGGGGGAGATGGTCCAAAGAACTGTTACATCGTAGATATCATTAACACTTTTCAACTGCCGTTGACATTGGTAAATAGATTTTATTTACGAAAGATCCATTAGAGGTAGACTGTAATTAGTAGTTATTGATTTCAATAAAACTATCAAAATCGATTATATAACATTGGATTTATGGAACGAATCAATTTGACTCGCGTTGACTTTTATATTTGAACTATTTATTTTTCAAATCATTTCAGATGTTGTACGCTTTTAAGATATCTGTAATTGGGAAATAAGGAAACTGAAACCCGCGTAGTAGAAACCCCGTATATCACAGAACGAAATAAGAGCATTTAAGTACGCAAGATGTCCCATTGGAAATTTTTCATTTGAGTGTGTATATCGTATTAGATTTGCCTGCAGAGCTTTGAAATTGATTAAAATTTGAAATCCTATTTCATTCATGGAGTATTAAGTACATTTTCAAATTTTCTGTTTTTTTTTGCTACATTAAACATCGATTAAAATCTGTCGGGTGCGTATTATTAAATCTTTTTTAGAAATTGTAATTATGTTCTTCTAATTTTTCGAATCTAACTCCCCTTTTTGCACTAGTTCTTTGTTTCATATAATATGGATTTGCATAACGCGACATTTTTTAAGAACGTAACAATCGTGTTATACAGAGATTACCTGTATTTTTAAAAAGTATAATGTACAAACATTATCCGATAGGGCCGGAAGATCTCTGCGGAAGATATAGTGTTGTCCAGCTAACACATCGATTCGCGACACAATGGCGCCGGCATGAACGTATTAAACTTTCAATATAAACCAGAAAAAAATCAACTCTTGGGAATATACCTGCAATAGAAAATGCCTCGAATGGATGAAAGGTGTCGCGTATCGTTAAACGGCATCGTTTGTCGGCCTCTTCAACTTCAATCGAAAGGGGGGAACGTTTTTAGAGGCTCTACAGCTTTCTTTAATTAAAGCAACGATATTTCATTCCGCGTTCGTTCCGTATGTTCCCGTTTACATGAAGAATACGCGGACGTTTTAAGACCAACATCGCGAAGTTTAACGGCTCTTCTAACAGAATTCCGGTGGTGATACATTTAGGCGCGTACGGGACAACGTAAACTCGTTACCGAAATGAATTGCCGCTAAATCAACAGCAATTAATCAATCTGCCGTGCCAGCTTGAAACAATACTGCCGTTTAGTGCGATTTTATCGCTTCCAATGAAATGCAAGCCCGATTCGACTTCTTTAACATGTGCGCAAACGAACGTCGGCCAATTTGGCGGTCTGCACTTTGCTCCTTTAATTCCTTTAATTAAGTGTCGTAACAGACTGATGGCTTTAGCACTTCGCGTACAGTTCTCATTCAACTCTTTCCATTCATTTCTTTCGTCGATACTTTCTATGAATTTTTGTATATACCGTTCGTAGGGATACATGTACATGATTTGTTTAAGTAAAATATTTAATTACGTTTATTTGTAAGAGATATTTGTTATCTATTTTGAGTCTATATTTACTGAGAACAGTAAGCTTCGGAATGTATTCCTATGCAATATACTAGAGCAGAGTTATTAACTTGCACTTTTTAATGGAAAATATACAAATGAATGTTTGAATTTTAATGTAATGTTTAAAATTAATACACAGAGAAAATGAGATTATTTTTATAAAAGAGTATTATTAATTGCTTTGAAATCATGGCGTCAGACTCCCTTATGTTACTTTTATGGAAATGATTTTACTTCCTATTAATAAAAATTTCGTTATGAATTGTACTTTTATGATTAATTGACAATTATATAAGTAATTTAAAAAAGGAAGTGAAGCAATTTTTCTATAAAAACGTTTCCTACTACTTATTTTTATCTTCGTTATTTCGTAAGTTATGTAAGTACAGAAAATTTCTACTCCAAAAGTTGAAGGGTAATTGAACTCTTTTAACATGGATATGAATCACTAATAAATATAGCAACTACATTTTTTCTCTCCCCTATCAAGTTTCATAAAAATGACTTGGCCACGTGTGTAGAACAAATTCAACTCGCATAGGTTGACTTCGTTTGAATTTTGAACAAAATTCTCAAAAACAAAAGAATTTTAATTAATTTAGAAAACAAAACTTATTTATACATCAAACCAATGTTTCGTTTTTTTAATCAATTAAAATTCTTTTTAGACGAATAATGTAATATTTTCCACCAATAATATGCCCACTATTATTGTGTATGGCATATCCGATGTTAAATAATTGTACGTTACCATTTCTTTTTTATCTACCGTTGTTTATGTTGTAAACGTGAAAACACTCAAGATAAGAATATGAAATAAATTTTTTTTGGGAACAAAATAATAGTGAACAGTACAAAAATGAATATATTTTTCATATGTAATAGGATAATTTAAAATTCTTCCTTCGTATTTTTACTACTATGATAGAAATTATATGATGAAATAATTAGTAAAATTAATTTTAATTATATCCTTATCAGGGTCTTCATATATTCAGTTAAAAAAGTAAGACCTTGGGAGATCGACGCATCACAGGTTCATAAATTCGTTTAGGAATAAACTACACGTCTAGTCGAAATAAAATATATAGTTGATGATCAACACGTGTCTTGCCTAGATAAAAGTGCCGCCAAATCTTCAAGGTGTTCTGACTTTCTGAATGGATTTTTATATTTTTGTTCTATTTAAAGAAATCAATGAGACACATTTCCTGGCTACATAAAAGTCACTTCAAGATTCCAAGACGCTTTGACTTTTTTAAATAGATTTATATATTTTTATTTTATATATAAGATCGAAAACCGCTTTGAACTTCTAGAGACACTTTTATCTAAGTAAGATTCATGATCATCGTAACATATTCTCTTTGAAACACAGAAAATTCTATTTACAATATCTTTTAAGTAATAGTACATTCGAAAAATTTGTGCGAACAAATTAAGATGAAATAGCTACTTTGTGTTTAAACCGTGAAAGTGGGGACATAAAGTAAAATATACAACAATAGAAGACAACATAGGATAAAATATTTTCGTATAGTGTTTCCTTTTTACAACAATAGAACTTAAAAATCTGTCGAATAGGTAGCCACATGCTATTTCACTCTTTACGTCCCAAATAAAAACGTTCAGTGAAAATACATTTATTTTCACAATATATGTTAACTAACTTATCATTTTTAACAAAAATAAATATTTTTATAAAAAAAATCTAATAAAATAGTTTTATCAGGTCTAGTTGTGAAAGAAGCCATAGGAGGGGTTGAGTGCAACGAGTAGCAGCAATTGCAAGGGTATAGCTGAATAAGGGAGGTAATGGGACTCCTAAACCAAATGGATTCGAATGTACATCATTCTATCGAATAAAGTAGTTCTATCGATCACAGTTAAGAAATAAATCATAGGACAAGGAATTAATAGTGTTTTGAGAGCACCGATTTGATCCCGACACCTTAAAATCGAGCTAATTCTGCATGGCCTCTCATTCTTCGCATTCT